ACAGGCATGGTCCAGAGACTGCATATTTAATAGCTTTTTGCAGCCACACTAAAACATGTAAACTAATGGTTCTTTAGCAGAGAGCTTACCTTCCTAGGATCAAAATGCTAAGAAATGAAGTAAAAGCCGGGAAGTTGTTTATGTCAAGAAACCCCCATGCCTTACAGCTTACCTTTTTCAGCCATTATTTCTATTGTTGAGTGGCTTAGTCTGGGCTATGTCTTTCTTCCTTATTGTTATCCTGTGCCTCTGAACTTTAAATAGAGAGATATCTGAAGAGTGTGGCAGCTGCTGCTCCCCTGCTGCCAATTGTCTACAGGGTGACAGGAGTCATTGGAAAGCAGAACTCCTCTGTCTCCCATCTAACCTTTACTGTGGAGGAACAAGAGGCTATGTATGTATGTGTCCTAAACAAGTAAGTAAACTGAGCTTTCCCAGTGCACGGGTGTGCGGATTGTTTATTCACTTACTGTTTCAGACAAGAACAGAATGCTAAGTAAAAAGGATATGCAAATTAAAAGTGAAAGTGAGGGTGTAAGTTCTATTAAGGAAGGAAGGAGGATGAAATATTAGTAAGAAAAGACTTTACAGTTGGAGGCACTTGGGTTAAAATTACACCCCTTCGACTTCTGTAATGAAGTCCAGGCTCCTTAACTGGCTTGATTTCGGTAGCAATAACAATATTTACTGTAATGGCTATTCTTGGTTGTCACACAAGCAAGTTACATGAAGAAGTTGCCTAAATACATATTGCTTCTACTCTCATTACAATGCTGTCTGCTGCCAAGTATATACCCATGGACTCATGGTGTGTTCCCTATGGTGGATTGACTGAGAAGAAAAGACTAGAGACTGATTTATTGATGGTTCTGTATGTAATAAGGGCACCATCCAGAAATGGATACATCAGCATTACCCCTTTAATAAGGGCTGCAGCATTATCACCCCTTTCTGGGACAACCCTGAAAGATACTAGTGAAGGGAACTCTTCACATTGGGCAGAACTTTGGCAGTACACCTTGAGGTATTTATTATTATTACTATTTGTTTGGAAGGAAAAATGGCCAGATGTATGATTGTTCACTGACACATAGATTGTAGCCAATGGTCAGGTCCTTGGAACAAGCATGATTTAAAAATTGGTGAGAAGGACATCTGGGGAAGAAGAATGTGGATAGGTCTCTTCTCTCCAAATGGGCAAAGGATGCAAAGATACTTGTGTCCCATGTAAATGCTCATTGAAAGGTGACTTCAGCTAAGGAGGAATTCAAAAACCAAGTAGATAGAATGACCTGTTCTATGGACTGTCAGCCTCTTTCCTCAGCCATTTCTGTCATTGCCCTATGGGTACATAACAAAGCAGGCATGGTGGCAGAGATGAGGCTTATGCATGGGCTCAACAACATGGACTTCAACTCACCACGGCTGACCTGGCTACAGGGCTGCTGAGTGCCAGATCTGTCAATAACAGATACCAACTCTAAACCCTAGATATGGCATCATTCCCCAAAGGTGACCAGCCAGCCACCTGATGGCAGGTTGACTACATTGGACCACTTCCTCCATGGAAAGTGTCCATGGACAATGCTTTGTCCTTAATGGAGTAGATACTTATTCTGGTTATGGGTTTGCCTTTCCTGCACCTAATGCTTCTCCTGAAATCAGCATCCATAGGCTTACAGAATGCCTTATCCAATATTGTGGTATTTCACACCGTATTGCTTATAACCAACAAACTCACTTCACAGCTAGAAAAGTGTGAGATTGCGCCCATGATCATGGAATCCACTGGTCTTACCTTGTTCTTCACCATCTTGAAATAGCTGGCTGGAGAGAAAGATGGAATTGTCTTTTTGAAGACACATTTACAGTGTCAATTAGATGGCAGTAGCCTGGGGGAGTGGGACAGGGTTCTCTAGAAGGTAGTACAGGCTTTGAGTCATTCTCCTATATACGGTCCAGTTTCTCGAACAGCCAGAATCCATGCGTCCAGTAATCAAGGAGTGAAAAGGGGAATATTGGCCCTCACTATCACCCCTAGGAACCCAGTAGGAAAATATTTGCTTCCTGTCCCCACTACCTTAAGTTCTGCTAGCCTAGAAGTTTTGTTTCCAGATATGGGAGCACTTCAGGCAGAAGCCACAACAAACATTCCATTGAACTGGAAGCTCAGACTTTCCCCTGGTCACTTTGGGCTTCTGATGCCTTTAAAGCAACAGGATAAAAAAGGAATAATACTATTAGGAGGGGCGATTGATCCAGGTTACCATGGGGAGATTGGATTGCTTCTCCACAATGGAGGTAAGAAGGATAATGTCTGGAGTGCAGGAGACCCTTTAGGGCATCTCTTGGTGCTACCATGCCCTGTGATTAAGGTCAATGGAAAACTACAACAGCCTGATCCAGGATGGCAAAGGGCACGGGCCCTTCAGGAAGGAAGGTGCGGGTCACTCCTCCAGGTAAAGAGCCAAGACCCACTGAGGTACTTGCTAGGGGTAGGGTCAATACAGATAAAAATAGGTGGTAGAGAAAGGTAGTTATAAATACCAACTAAGGTCATGTGATCAGTTACAGAAATGAGGCTTATAAATGACATGAGTGTTTCTGTCATACTTTGTTAAGAATTATTGTACATGGGATAGTTATATAATGTTTTGGCATTATTATGACCTTGTTATTGTTTTAATTTGGAAATTAATTATGACATAATTAATTATTGCATGTCAAGTTGACTTTTTTTAATGAAGAAATTTTTTTATTCATTTTACATACCAATCAAAGATCTCCCTCTTCTCTCCTCCAGCCCCTCCAGCCTCCCCCTCCAACTCACCTCCCATTCCCTTCTACAAGAAGGTAAGGCCTCCCATGGGGAGGTACATTTAATAGAGGCAGGTCCAAGCTCTTCCTCCTGCCTCAATGCTGTGCAAGGTGTCCCATCATAGGTAGTGGGCACCAAAAAGTCTGCTCATGAGCTAAGGATAGGTAATGGCTATTCTTATTTGTCAACTTGAATACATCTGGAATTAACTAAAACCCAAAAACAGAGGAGCATATGTATGAGGGAGGGATTTTTTGCTTACCTTAAAATAGGAAGATCCATTTCTAATCCAGATCTTGAGTTGGGAAGACACACCTTTATCTAGATCATATGTTGAGGGAAAACTTGCCTCTAATCTTGGCCACACCTCCTGCTGGAAGCCTATATAAGGACAGAAGGAGGAAGCTTTTGCTCTTTGCCTGTTTGCTCTCACCTTGCTAGCAAGTTCATTCCTTCACTGGCATTAGAGCCTACTTCTTCAAAATTCTAGCATATACTGAAGACCAGCTCAGACATCCAGCCTTGTGGACTGAGCAAGCTAGCAAACAGTACTCCTCCGTGGCCTCTGCATCAGCTCCTGCCTCCAGGTTTCTGCTATGTTTAAGCTCCTATTCTGACTTCCTTCAGTGATAAATAGTGATATGGAAGTATAAGCCAAATAAGCCCTTTCCTCTCCAACTTGCCTTTTGGTCATGGTGCATCATGGCAGAACTCTAACTAAGACACTCACCAAGAAAAATTGCATGAAAGTGAAATAAATATACTGTGAAATATAAACATCACTTTATTACCAATGCAAAAGATGAATAAAGTGATTCTCTTTTTCTTTGAACCCCTCTAAAACCAGTAAGTGTTCATCTAAATGCATTAGAAGCTACAACAATGTGGTGGTAGTGGTGGTGCCTAAAATTTTCAGAGAGAAGTCATAAGCTTGATTTTATTAGCAATGTATAAAAATGGGGCATTTCATTTTCTGAAATCCAACCTGGCTTATATAATATGACCCAGACTATCCTTGAGATTCTCATCAGAATAGCTTTAATTTTGGATTCCGGGTGGAAAGTTTTGGCAAAGTAACCCTGTGGCTAATTTCTCCAATCTCCAGTATGAAATTAGGAAAGTTTTCCTTTAAAAGACAGGTCTTGCTTGACCAAATCCATTTCCACAGAGCTTTAAGGACCATGTTTCCTTGTAAATGACTGGTGCAAACACTCCTGGAAGTGCTTAGTGGTTCCCCATTTGTTAGAGAAGATGACCCCAAGTTCTCTGTGTACACATCAGAGAATCCCTCTACCCTCAGATTTCCAGTAAGGCCTCTGTCACACTTCACTCCTTGATGCTATGTAAATCCAGAATTTTCCCACCCTGCCAGGACTCAGGAAGTTCAGATAGGAAAAGTGTAAGTTCAAGGCAAGCCTGGACTATGCTGCAATGCCTCATTTCAAAATAAAACCATAAAGGGATTAGAGATGTTAATCAGTGGTGGAGCAGTTCCCTAACATAGATAAGGCCCTGAGTTGAATTCTTAGTAACCCAGTAACATAATAAAACAAAATATACCCCACACACAGGTAATGAGAATGTTTGATTCTCTACTTTAAGCAATATAAAGAATATGGGACCACAAGCATGTTTATGCCATTTAAGCCAAATTGTCACATCTCTATGTCTAAAATTTAGCACTGAAGAAAGTATGTGCCTATATCAGATAATATGTAACAAAAGTATATTCTAATCAAGTAACCTTGGAAATTGTTTCCCAATACATTAAAAGTGAAGTCATGGTTAAAAGACAGAAAAAAAAAGACTGAAGAATGATCATTGAGCTCCTATAAATATTATTCATTTATTCATTTTAATGAATAAAATAACTATAGATCTTTCAAAGGTAGACTATGATGTTCAGGTATGTTAAGATACTGTGCATTAATCCATCCAGAATATTCAGATTATCTATAATTGTAAATATTTATAATTTCAGGTGAAAACTTTTATATAAAATAAAACATAACATTCAAAAGAAATAATTAAGTTACCCCTACCCAAAGGACAGAGATAAACACATATGCAAGGATAAAGTAATTTGTTTTAGCTAGATAAAAGAGTATTGTGAAAGTGTCTACATTTTAAATACTAATTTCCATTTTAATTATCTTATGCTTTCTTTTGGTATAAGATATGCTGCTATTGTGTTCACTTTGGCAGCTTATTAAAATTGGAAAAACATACTGAAGACTAGCATGTGCACTGTGCAGGATGATTCATAAATTCCAGAAGCAGACCATATAATTACATGAACTAAATGTATAGAAAATCCATTCAACAAAATTATAGCAGAAAATCCTCAAAGCTAGAAAAAGAAATGGGCCTCTGAACACAAGAGGCATTTAGGACACAAAAGTATGACCAGAGAACCTCTCTGTGGCACACTATATGATCAAGATGACAAAACCACCAAGCAAATAAACTCTATTAAAATCTATGAGGTAAAAGACCTACATATCTATAAATGCAAGTGCATAAAAATAATATAAGATTTCTTGTCAGCAACCCTAAACTCCAAAAAAGCCATGGAAGGCAAATAGCAAGTCCTTCAGGAAAACACTAGCTAACTGACATTGCTATGTCAAGCAAATCTGTCTTTTAAAACTGATAGAGAAGGGCTGCAGAGATGACTTAGCAGTCAAAAGTATACACTGCTCTTGCAAAAGACCAGAGTTTGGTTCCTAGCACCCACATCAAGCAGCTCACAAATCCATGTAGCTCCACCTCTGGGAGGATACATCACTTCTGCCTCCTACAGGCACCTGAACACACACACACACACACACACACACACACACACACACACACACACACAAACAACTTTAAAATAATAAAAATAAATCTTTTTTAAGTTGACAGAAAATAAACATATTTCAAGATAAGCACATTCAACCCAGTCAGCCCTGCAGATTCTCTCAGGAATAAAATGTAGAGCAGAGGGAAAGAATTTCAATCACTCCTGCACAGGAAAGAACAAATTTATGAGAGAAATAAATGAGCAAGTGAGAACTGGAAGGGATCTTCCATGTTTGTAACACAATAAACCAGTAAGAATTGGAGAGAAAGTAAAGATCAAACAATAATTTAAAAAAAAATCCTCAAAAACCACAAGAATTTATACATACTCTCAATAATCACCTTAAATGTAAATGGCCCAAATTCATGAGTCATCTGCATGTCTTTGGATGCAGCAACTAACTGGACTAAAATACAAAATCCAAATGTTTGGAGTCTCCAGGAAACACACCTCACTGGCAAAAACGTCCATGGACAAAGGATCCAAAGATGAAAGTCAATCTATGAAGGAAATGGAAGAGAAAAGCCAACTGGCATAGATTCTGTGATATCTGGTAAAGTAAACTAAAAACCAAAATTAGTCAACAGGGATAAAGAATGCCACTGCTTATTAATGAATGGAAAAAATTATCAGCAAGACACAGTAATTATAAACATAGATGTGTTGAATGTTGGAGCACCACAAAATTAAACACTAAAACTGTCCTGAGTTATCCAATCAGTAAATGGCCTAATGAATTGAATAGACAGTTCTCCAAAGAAAACAAACAAGTGACCAATAGATTACCAAAAATGTGTTCAACATTCTTCCTCATTCATCAGCAAATGTAAGTGAAAACTGCTACGACATTCCACTTCACCAGTCAGGACAGCTGTGACCAAGACAACAAATGACAACTAATTCTGGCAACGATGACAGGAAAGATGTATCTTTACATATTGTTGATGGAAATGTGAATTGGTTTGGCCATTATAGAATTCTATGTGAAGGTTCCTCGAAAAAGGAAAATAGAACTCCCACGTGACCCAGTTAGACCATTCCTGGGTATATATTACTGTACTACATTGATGCATACACATCCATACTTGTTGATGCTATGTTCACAATAGCCAAGAAAAGGAGTCAGCCTTGACATCTACCTACAGATGAGTAGATAAACAAATATAATTTTTAGCTATAAGGAAAAATTAAATCAGACATGGATAAAACTGGAGAACATTATGTTAAGGAAAATAAGCCACATTCAGAGAAATACATTTTCTTTCCTATGTGGAATTTAGTGTGTGTGTGTGTGTGTGTGTGTGTGTGTGTGTGTGTGTGTGTGTGTGTGTATTCATCTGTGTGTCTATGTCTGTGTGTCTTTGACTATATATGTGAGTTTGAATGTATAATAAGCTAAGAAAGGAGACCATGAAATGGGAAGATCTTAAAGGATGCATGTGAAGAAAGGAAAGAAGCAGTTGAATATATGTGACATGAAAGCAGAAGGTGGTTACTACCTAGAGGGTCAGCAGATGGGTACAGAGCAGTGGGGATGGCCATGGGGGAGGGGACTAAATAAGAACAAAGTATTAAGAGATAAATGTATAAAAATAACATATTGATACCTATTGCTTTGTATGCTGACTTTAAAATCAATAAATACAAAAATATACTCTTATTAATATTAGTGCTATCCCTTGGCAGTTTGGGAGGGATTCTTTTATAACTTATTATTTTTCTTACTTTGCTATATAAACAAAGCATGGAGGTGAGATAATACAATAAAAGTAAATTGCCCAGACTTTGGAAAGAGCTCAGTCTAAAATCTCATTTCCTTGGAATCTCATATGTAATATCTTTTCTATACCCAGAAAAAAATATTTTATTCATCAACAGACTGGTTTCATTTTGAGTTCATAAATTGAAGGACCTATATTTGATCATTTACTAAGCTTTCTCTTAGGACATGCTATTTCAAAACATTTTCTGTTTCAACTTCACATACTCTATTAAATCTTCAACTGTTAATACCTTTATTCTCAAGGTGACATTAGATTTTTCTAAGATATGTAAGCTAAAAAACTTAAGGTTTTTTATTTCATTCCTTAGTCAAGATAAATCATAAGTCCTTATTTTCAAATATTTTAACTACCAATGTGTTCAATTTTATTAGATAAATCTGGATGTAGCAGATACCAAAAAAATCTTGACTTGGTGACTGGCTGATTGGCTGGATAGGGGTGCACGGATGCATGGATGCACCGGTGTATGAGTACACAGGTGCATGGGTATATGGGTGCATGAATACACAGGTGAATGGGTGCATGTGTGCATAGGTGGCAAACAAAAATAGAATAAGGTAGCTTATCTTACTCCCTACTAAAAGATTTATTTATGACAATGTCTGAAGAAATAGGGCAATCTGAGCAATGATGGCCACATTATATATGCTCATATAAACAGTACTTTACCATCTACTTAATTAATGGCAGCGTTAGAAAAATCCATAGCTCAAGGTGTGATCAAAAGAAAGACTGAAATTAGCAAAGAAATTGCTTTCTAAAGTATTCTCTTCTCCATAAAGAAAACTTGCTAAAATTTAAGTGCCATGCTTTTATAGAATTCTAGAAACTGGAGAAAGTTTCACTGCAAGTTGAGAAAATAATTCTTTAAGAAAACTGCCTGAATCTCCATATGAATAGTCAGACTCATGGTCATTTCATTTGGTCTACTCCTATCTGCCCATCTCAAGCTCTTCAAGTTAACTTGAAAATGGAAATCAACATCCCACAGAACTGTGAAGCCAGCAGCCTAGCACCCGTCACTGGGCACTGAGTGGGCTCCTTCTAAGTTTTATTCCCAGAAAACCACCATCATTCAACCCATCTAGTGATTGCCCAAAAGACCCACTTGCAAGGTTGTCATTATTTGACCAGTATGAAACTTACCCTGCACAGAGCATTTGACAAAAACACATTAGAGGCTGTAAACTGAAGTTCCCAGGAAGAAACTGAACCCAATAGGCTGAGGGCTGATGAGAATTTCAGCAACTGTAGAGTAATTTTGTTGCAGATCCAGACTCAGATTCTTGGACTATCTAGCACCTTCATATCCATTCACTGCTCACTTCTGTGTCTGACCTAACATCCTTGAGACTATTGCATGAAACATTTAGAGATACATCAACTAAAGAGACTACTATCTTCCACCAAGCCAAAATCTGAGGTCATTAAATAGCATATGAAGTTTGTAGCCAAGGTTTTCCCAAATCAATATAACCTCCCCTCTTAATGTTCACACCAATGTATTTTAAAAGGGGTTTTATTTATGACTCTCTTTGTTCTGTTACTGTTAAAACTTTATAACATTAATGCTGCATTGGAACACAGAATTTAGGATAACTTAAATCCATGTTCACATGCCATGGTTACTCATATTCAGCTCCAAGATGAACAAATTCTTATCCCTTTTGAGGTGAGAGTCGTGTATTCTGAGAAGCTATCTTTTGTTTTTATTTTTATTTTTTGTGTGTGGTAGTTTTATTGCTGTTGTTCACCTTGTTAAAGCAATCATTTGACATCACAGCAAACAACAGGCTAGCAAGTGAGGAATATGATATCCCTGGAGGCTTTGAAAAGCTACACATACCCCTGGTAATCTAGGAGGCTGCATGTATGTTCTTAATTTCCATAGCCACAGATGTGAGTGTGCAGAGAAAAGACCTGAGGAAGACTACAAGCTCTGCCCTGTGGCCCACCTCAGAGCTCAAGGAAGAAAGGAAATGGCACAGCATTAAAGACTATCACGATCCAGTTATGCCAGCACCATTTGTTGAAGATGCTTTCTTTTGAGACAGTCATTTGGCTTGATCTGTTTGGGAGGCAGCTGTGCATTGGTGC